TCTCTCTTCCACTCTCTTTAAAAATCAATGGAAAAATATCCTCGGGTGAGGATTAAAAACACACACAATGTTATTGCCTATGTTCCCTATGCTCTACTTCACTACATCCGCGTGATTATTCCGGAACAACCAATTTGACCAAATTACTGATTTCTGTTCTTTGCTACACATATCCCAGAAGCATTCAAACCTTCAACAAATTGTCCTGTGGCTTTATGTTCCGACCAACAAGGAGGTTTTCATTTCCCCTCTGACTCATCTGTTTCTTTTCGAAGCTCCTGTCTAAATGCCTCCAGCCATTGACATTTCAACTATCCTGGCCTTTTGGTTCCCCTTCGGTGGCTGCAACGAATGTCTTAAATTCGTTCTCATCCTTTTGTTCTTTTCTTTTCTTTTTTGCTGCAATCTTGGGACCCGAGCATCACTGGTGGAGATACCTGGCATTTTAGGAGTGTTTCCACCCATTTACCACACAGCTTCCTCTAGATCTGTTCTGGACCAGCTGGAAGACAGGGCGACTGGGATTCACGCTGGTGGTGGCGAGATTTCCCCCAAAACACCCTAACGCAGCGATTTTAGGAGTGTTTCCACCCATTTACCACACAGCTTCATGTCGATCTGTTCTGGACCAGCTCGCAGACAGGGTGACTGGGATTCACGCTGGTGGTGGCGAGATTTCCCCAAAACACCCTAACGCAGCGGTTCTCAACCTGTGGGTCTCGACCCCTTTGGCGGTCGAACGACCCTTTCACAGGGATCGCCTAAGACCATCCTGCATATCAGATATTTACATGACGATTCATAACAGTAGCAACATTACAGTTTTGAAGTAGCAACAAAAATAATTATATGGTTGGGTCACAACATGAGGAACTGTATTTAAAGGGCCAGAAGGTTGAGAACCACTGCGCCTAACGGAAAAAGAAGAGCTGGGTCCATCCACAGATGTTGCTGTTGGCTTTCTAGGCTACACTCTTCCACTTGACAAGAGTTTGGCCCTTACCTTGGACATGAGAAGCCTAAAGCATGGATCCTGAGAATGTCCTCACAGTGTGGCCTGGGGAGGGATCTGTGTGCTGACCACAGGGGACACGGGATGGGGCTGTGGGCTGACCAAGGAGCAGGTTATAACTCTCTCTACTAGTATAAGGGCTGCAGTCAGAACGACTATTTTTTTTTAATAATCTTTGAAAAAATATGTTTTTATTGATCTTTAGAGAGAGAGGAAGTGAGAGGGAGAGAGAGATAGAAACATCGATGAGAGAGAAGCATCATCGATCGGCTGCCTCCTGCATGCCCCCTACTGGGGATCGAGCCTGCAACCCGGGCATGTGCCCTGACCGGGAATCGAACTGGTAACCTCTTGGTTCATGGGTTGATGCTCAACCTCTGAGCCACAAGGGCTGGGCCAGGACAGCTATTAAACTGCACTTTCGATGCAGTAACTTCACGGAGGCCTGAGCTCCAAGAGCTGATGTTAATGGGGTGTTTCCCACCCAAAAGGCCGGAAGCCCTCACTCAGTAAAGCGGTAAATACCAGAATCGCTTAGTCCTTGACACACAGCCAGTTCTGGGCCCCGTTTAAACAGCGAGAAGCCGGGAAGCACCGTGCATGTGCTGGTGAAAGAGGCCTTTATGAGTTTGCTGCCACTGGAGCCCGGAGGGGAGGGTGAGTGGAATGTACTGGAATGTCTGACAAAAGGCAGATTCTTGGGCTAAGCCACTCAGTGCACCCAACATGTGAGGCTCCAGGCTGCTTGGCTAGCCCGGCCTCTGGGCCTGCTCCGCAGCCAGGAAGAGTAGCGTGGAGGGGGCTCCCTCTGCCCAGCTTCCCCCCCCCCCAGAGAGAATTGGGGGGCAGGCGGGCCTGTCCTCTTGAAGGTTGGGCACTCACAGCCCTGGTGTTTCCTGGCAACCTCCCATACCTGAGAGGCCTCCCTCCCTTCTAGACCTGGAGACTTACATCCAGCTGTGGCAGGCAGGTTCCCGCTTACGGTGGCTCTATCTATAGAAGGCAAATTAGGCCCTAACCCAGTGGTTCTCAACCTTCCTAATGCTTTGACCCTTTCATACAGTTCCTCATGTTGTGGTGACCCCCAACCATAAAATTATTTTCGTGGCTACTTCATAACTGTTGCTACTGTTAGGAATCGTCATGTAAATATCTGATATGCAGGATGTATTTTCATTGTTACAAATTGAAAATGAAAGCATAATCACAAAAACAATATGTAATTATATATGTGTTTTCCGATGGTCTTAGGCGACCCCTGTGAAAGGGTCGTTTGACCCCCAAAGGGGTCGCGACCCACAGGTTGAGAACCGCTGCCCTAACCAGTTTGGGTCAGTGGATAGAGCGTTGGCCTGAGAACTGAAGGGTCCTGGGTTCGATTCAGGTCAAGAGCATGTACCTTAGTTGCAGGCTCCATCCCCAGTGGGGGGCGTGCAGGAGGCAGCTGATGGATGCTTCTATCTCCCCCTCTCCCTTCCTCTCTCTAAAATCAATAAAAATATTCAAAAAAAAAAAAAGGCAAATGAGGGCAAGGTTGTCACCATCGCCACCTGGTGTTCTGCTGCCTGGTGAAATGATTGCTCTGAGCTTCCTATAGCCGAGGGCAAGGAGAGTCAGGTGTCTTCAGTCTTGGAGCTCTGCCCTGGCCCTGGGTGGGTCGGCTCTTCAACCTGAAGGCACACTGCTCACCCGTGGACAAAGCTGAACTGAAGAGTCGTAGGATTTTATCATTTTTTTAAAATACATTTTTATTGATTTCAGAGAGAAAGGGAGAGGGAGAGAGAGAGAGAAACATCAATGATGTGCATCAGCTTGCGGCCCCTGTCCCCTGGGCACCGGCCTCACCCAGGGCTGCAGCTTCCTGCAGTGACCC